CTATGTATTAAACATTCTATCTGAACACTAGGTAAATGGAGGACTCTGACTAAACTTCAATGCCTGACATAGTAAGTCCTCAATAATTAATAAGTGCATGTTTTTTCAGTAAGTAGATCAATACATGAAAGTTTTCCAGATATATTCAAATATTTAGGTTTCTTATAAAAGTGCATAAACAATATAATCAAAAGCAATAGTTCAATAGCACAATGTACATAGAAAAGATTAAAATCTACTTGATTGCATCAGGGAAACAGAATGCTGTTCTCCCTCCATTTTCCATTTCTTGTACTGTTTTGTTGAAATTCTTGGAAAAATATAAATATCTTTAAGCAACAGAACCTAATGTCACTGGAATCAAGAAAGGAATTACAGGGGCAGTGGCCTTTGCTAAAATGAAAAACCAATATCCTTGGGTTTACATTCATATTAAAGCTGGTAAGATTTCACATTCCTCAGCACACAATGGATCTTTCATCAATATTGGAAAATGCCTTTGTGACAATATTTGCAAAGAATGGATGGAATTCTCAATGCTGCAAGCACTCACAGAATTATTTAAAAGAACAATGAATAGATAACTAATTAGAAATGTTTCTTGAGTGTAAAAATATTTACATTACCAAAGAAAAGATCTAGGTCTAGCATTTTCTTCAGAGCAGTCAAGAAGAACAGGTTAAGGTGAACTGTGGGCACAGTCCCAAAATATTTGCCATCAAAATTATTAGAGTTGCCTTCTCCTTGGTCAACTAATGATTTTAAATCCTATTTGACTTGTAAATAGTGCTTATTTGCTTACACATATTTTGCTACACTCTACCCTTAATTATAGGATTTAAGATAATGCCAAATAAGTATTCACTATAATTAGATAAATAAACTTAAAATACAGAAAATAAGAAAAAGAAACTCTGGAAAGACAAAGGTGTGCAAAAACAATGACATGTCCTATATTCTAAATTGAAGTAAGCCATAAACTAGGTTGTAAGTTTTCAAGTAACCAATTCTAACCCAAAAACACAAGTTAAATATTCCACATTCATGAGGTAAAAAAAACAAAGTATTTGTTTAAGGGAAACATTCCTGATATAAGATTTTTAAAAAATTTTTCTAATCAACTCTAGTGTTATTTAACAAAATATAACCTAATCAAGATGTATTTTAATACATAAAATAAATATAATTTCCACAATCCTATTTCTTATATAATTATCAATACAATGCTAAAAGAATTATAGAAAAAGCAATTCTGTAATATCAGTTCAACAGAGATTTACATTATTTTGTCTAAATGTATATGCAATTTTCTGATGGTATGGCTTAGACTGGGAATGTATTTCTCAGTATGAGGAATAGAAGCTATTACAACAAATACAAAAAGAAAGGAGAAAGGTTGAACAATGTTTTATTTTATTTTATTTTTTTTTTTTTGAGTTGAAGTCTCACTCTGTCATCCAGTTTGGAGCGCAGCGGCATGCTCACAGTCATCATAGCCTCAACCTTCTGGGCTCAAGTGATCCTTCTGCCTCAGCCTCCCAAGTAGCCAGAACTACAGGCATGTGCCACCACACCCGGGTAATTTTTTGATTTATTGTAGAGAGGAGATCTTGCCAAGTTGCCCAGGTTGGTATCGAACCCATGGGCTCAGGCAATTCTCTCACCTCGGCCTCCCAAAGTGCTGGAATTATAGGTGTGAGCCACCAAGTCGGCTGAAAAGTGTTTTAATTAACATATTCATACCTTGTAAAGATGTAATAACCAGAACATTTTCTCCATAGAAGTCTTACATATCCTTTGGTAGATTTATTCCTACACAATCTTACTGTTTTTGCTGCTATTAGAAACTATTATATTCTTTAGAAAAATAGATATTTTAATTATATGCGGTTTTTTTGTATGTTGATTTTGTATCTAGTAAACTGCTGAAGTCCATAATTAGTTTTAATTATTTGTCTTTGTCTTGTTTTTGAAACTTCTAACCATGATTTGTTTTTCCTTCTCAAAGAAGTTTCTTCACACTCCCTATCAGTCAGAAGTCTCCAAACTTCTTAAAATCCAATATATTGCTCTTTGATCACAATTTCTGATCCTTCTAACTTCCTCACGTTTGTGCTTCTATTAACTCTAATCTTCAGTCCTGTTACTCCATTCTTCTTCCAAGTATCAGTCCCTTCCAGACTCTGTTGCCATCTCCAACGTGCACCCAACAATGCATCACATCAAACACCCAACCTCTCCCTTGCCAGTCTTATTCCTTTGTCCTTTTCCACATCCACCACACAAGGCCTCAAGTCTGGATTAGTTTTGTTTCCCCTCTCCAGTCCCACACCGGGATCTCAGAATCATACTCGAGAATATCCCAAGTCAGTACCATTACAAACACTTAAGACTCTCACCCCAAATGCACCTTCCGCATTGCTCTGCAACCCCATCACATGCTGCTCATTACACTTCCCTTTCCGCTTCCCTTGTTGCTATTCTGAACTTCCGCCACTTTCCTCAAGCCCGCATTACACTTTCACTGCTCCCCTGAACATATGAATCTCATTTTCATGATACCCCTAGATCTGTAATTTAAACTCCAGTAACACTCCAGTAACAGTAGGTCCCTAAATATGACCTGATTTCTTTGCACATGCTGTTCCCTCTGCCTGGAATACCCTCCTCCAATTTGTCCAACGAGAAAACATTTATGTATCCTTCAAACTTCAGTTCAAATGCTACTTCTAACAAGAAACCTTCCTCATTCCAGACCTCTTCCCCTAGGGATTCATTATACTCTGTGCCTCTGCCTCTAGCTATGGAAATTGTTGTGTCGCACTGTAACTGCTGGCTTGCTTGTTTCTGACCAGACTGTAAGCTCCTTAGAGGACAAGGACTTTTTTTTTTCTTCAGTTTTCTACCTCAAGCACACTAGTTGGCACTGGCTAATTGAATGTTGAAGGAATAAATTCTTCCTACTAAAGTATAATTCCTTAGTCCCAACATTATGTAGAAGAAATGAATTTAGAGGAAATAAATTTATAAAAACTTTAGCTAAGATGAATGTGACTGTGTCACCAATAACATCAATAGTGAAGTTTACATTTGCAGCCCAACTGAAATTCTCTTGTGCAAAATGCACTTCGAGGATATAATAGAAAATGTTTACTAAAAAGATAAACAGTTCTATTTCTGATATACCTGAATGATAATGAACTTAGTGAAATTAAACCATATACTGGACAGTACAAATGGCACCATAGTAAATATCATTCTATTTCAACAACTAATGACGTTCAAGCCCTATATAAACACTGACATTCACAAAATACGCATCACAAGTATCTTAGAAACACAAAAGAAAAACTTAACAATAATGAAGCCTGATCCTTGTCCCCTTCGACCAGAGGTGCACTTTTTTTTTTCTTTTGAGTTGGAGTCTCACTCTGTCACTCAGACTGGAGTGCAGCGGCCGCTCCCAGCCACTGCAGCCTCGACCTGCTGGGCTCCGGCAATCCTTCTACCTCAACCTTCCAAGTAGCTGAAACTATAGGCGTGTGCTACCACACCCAGCTAATTTTTGATTTATTGTAGAGATGAGGTCTCGCCAAGTTGCCCAGGCAGGTCTCGAACCTGCGGGCCCAGGCAATCCACTCACTTCAGCCTCCCAAAGTGCTAGGATTGCAGGCTGAGCCACCGAGTCTGGCCTGAGCCACCCAGCCCGGCCCGGAGGTGCACTTTTAAGTGGGCAATTATTACACTGCACAGTAGCAATATTAAGTGAAAAAGGATGCCCCAAAAGATTACATACAATATGATACCCGTATTTGTTACGTTAAAACCAATGAAAACAAAAATACATACACTTTGGGAGAATACAAGGAAATAAACACTGACTTCTGGATGACAGTTAACTTACATGGAGAAATGTCAAGGAATGGATTAGTGAAGAGAACAATGTGGTTAGAAATACTACCAAAGTCTAACTTCTGCTCTGGGTGGTGAATTCCCAGGTTATTATTTTTTTAAATAGATGATAGATAGATAGATAGATAGATGAGATAGATATAGACAGATAGACAGAGATAGATGATTGATGATAGACAGACAGACAGACAGGTAGGTAGGTAGACAGATACAGGTAGGAAGGGAAGGAGGGAGAAAGAAAGGAAAAAACCATAGATGGAAAGGAAAAAAAGCACAGAAAGATAAAAGTGGCCAAGCATGGACCAACAGTGAGAGTGTGTTATAAAACAAGGACTATCAAACCTAAAAGGAGACACCATAAAAGGACATGACTTGACATGAAAAGATATGAAAATAAAAACTGCTCGTGAGATGTAGGCTAAAACCCAACCTACAATCTCTGGGTCAAACTCAAAAGTCACTCATCCAAGTGATGCTATTTTTTCTGCTTTTAATTCCCTGCCAACTAGACTTCCAACTAGACTGCCCAACTAGACTGCCCAAGGCAACATGTTGTCCAACAGACATGAGGGATTCCACCATCACCAATGGACCTTTGGCTCAGAGAGTGATACCCAAAGTGTGAAGGGACAGGAGTGATATAAATGGAAATCTTGCTGAGTTCCTTACTGGCTCTCTGCATGTGGATGGACAACTCCCGCAAACCTTTGTATAGGCAACCAGTAATTCGAATTCATTCACTCAATTTTTCTTAAGTACCACAGTTATATGTCAAATATCATGATAAACACTGAGATCCTTCAGACTTGAGATTAGGACAGTCTTAACAAATACTTGAATCCAGTCCATCATCTTCCAGAAAGCCCAGAATCAACATTCTCCTCAAGTATAAGAATCAAGATGAACTTTCAAGGAGCTTTATTAAGCCATCTAGTTACACAAGCAAATAACAAAGCAACTCACTTGTAGAATGAGGTGATACAGCTCCCAAAAATTAAAAGATGTCAAGTATCTATGACAAAAATTGGAAAAAAATTTGCTTTTTCAAAAGATGAGATTTTATATGAGTGTGCTGCTGTCTGCCTTACCTGATATCTCCAAAAGCAGGTTTACATGATCACCTTCTGCCAGCTTCACAAATCCAACTTGATTTCCAAAAGTGCCAATCCCTTGAAAGGGCAAAGTTAAATGTTTTCCTTGGAGGACTTCTTCAATGAATGGTTTCAATTCCAAAAGAGCATCAATACCACTAGTGAGAGATAATATACTTTTCAGTAACATATTAAGTAATAAAATATACAAAACCAAATAAGGAACAGAGTACTTAGTTTTAGAAAGATAAATTAATTTTTATATTTGTACTTTAAAGCTTAAAATACCTTCTAAATCTGACATATACTATTAAAACATATTAATTTTTAAACAAAAACTATAGAAGAAATGAATTAAATATTTACCTAATTATAACTGCTATTAAAGACATAAAGTACTATTTTATAGTTCACCAAAAAAATTTTAACTAAGAAAAATACTACAGTGACAACCCAAAAAACATTACTGAAAATATATCCCAAAAACACACAGTACCTATGAGGGCTTAGATTAGATTATGTGGAAAGTTCTAGATTCTTGATAAAAGTATCCATATTTTTACAGTACTTAATATTTGTGAGGCACTCTAATAAAACTTAATATACATTATCTCTTAAAATATAATAGTATCTATAACAAGATACTTTAGATTCAAATACAAATTTAGTTATATTCCCCAGCTGTAAATATATAAGCTTGCTACAATGTGTTAGCTGTACAGACTGTGATTACAGGGCTACTATGTGTTTCAAATGCTTTATTTTTCTTTTTAAAAAGTTTACCATATTATTGAATTATATATTATCAGATTTTTTGACACTTTGAAAATTCGGATCAGTTACTTCCATCTTGAAGAGAACATTATTATAGGAACTTTATTATGAGAAAAAAATAAAATCTCACTAGAGGGCAGCAATTACTCAAAAAAAGAAATAAGCACATTCTTACAGAGAGGGCTTTAAAAGACTCTTTTAAGTGAATCACCATTAAGTTATTTTGATCAGTGATTTGTTCACCACCCAAATGTTTGAAAAAATAATTTAAGTATTTTTCTAGATCTTTCATATTTATTAGTCTTCTTGTAAAGTTTTTAATTGATATTCATTCATGTCGTCCACACTGTTTCATTTCTCTGTCATAGGATAATGTATGACACTTTATTAACAGTTTTATAAATGTCAACATTTCTCCTTATACATCCATATCCACATTTTAAATCCAATCTTATCTAACTGAATTTATTATATTTATCCAAATATTCATTCAATATTGTGCTGCAAGTTAATGCACGTGATAACAGAACAGCCCCTTCTGGCTCATCTATCATAAATTGGAAGAATTCAAGGTATTCATTTTAAATGAGACTATATGCTAATTACTAAAGGAAGCCATGAGAAAGGTTAAGACTTTCTAGAGACAGTGAATTTTATATCCTGTTTTTCTTTTTTTTTTGAGTTGGAGTCTCACTCTGTCACCCAGAATGGAGTGCAGTGGCCGCTCCCGGCCACTGCAGCCTCGACCTACTGGGCTCCAGCGATCCTTCGGCCTCAGCCTTCCAAGTCGCTGGAACTATAGATGTGCGCTACCACGCCCAGCTAATTTTTGATTTATTGTAGAGATGAGGTCTCGCCAAGTTGCCCAGACGAGTTTCAAACCCGAGGGCTCAGGCAATCCACTCACCTCAGTCTCCCAAAGCGCGGGATGACAGGCTGAGCCACGGAGCCCGGCTCTGTTTTTCTTTAAAGAAGTGTATCAGCCAAGCTTGTCGTTCTCTAGTAGTGCAAATAATAACTCTGTCCTATTGGGATGCCATTGATTCACAGGGTGAGAAGGAATCATAGTGTCTGCTAGAGAGTATCACTAACTTTGAAATTCTTTTAAATCAAGAATTTTTTTTTTTTGAGTTGAAGTCTCACTCCATCACCCAGAATGGAGTGCAGTGGCACGCTCACAGCCACTCCAGCATTGACCTGCTGGGCTCCGGCGATCCTTCCGCCTCAGCCTTCCAAGTAGCCAGAACTACAGGCACATGCCACCATGCCTGGCTTATTTTTTTATTTATTGTAGAGACAAGGTCTCACCATGTTGTCCAGGCTGGTCTCGAACCTGCAGGCTCAGGCAATCCTCTTGCCTCAGTCCCCCAAAGTGCTGGGATTACAGGCTTGAGCCACAGCACCTAACCTAGAGTATCTTTTCAAGAGTGGTTTATGGAAAGACTTCCTTATGGAAACTAAGTAAAAAGTATACATTTGTAAGAAACAAAATTATGAAACTGGAACTCAGATCAACAGGTAGTATTTCAAATTAAGACAGAACATCTTTTCACATCAGCAGCTGGGTTTAGCCTAATATATTTCTATTCCTTTCTTCTACACCGTGAGGGAAAAAAAAGATCCTTAAGTGACATCTACCTCAAATTTCATGATTTTTTAAAAAATGGCATATTCCACATGCCATCCATTGGTCAGTACATTATTAAACACCTAAAATTTGATATTATTCTTTGGAAAGTGAGAATAATAGAACACAAAAATAGAAAAGTAAGAATAATAGAACACAAAACGGACAATCTAGGTGTCTAGCATATTATATGGTATAGGATAAAAGATAAAAATAAAAAGATTTTTTTAATCCTTCAAATCAAGAATAATAATAATAAATAATCCCAGAAACCCAATCAATTTCACTCTCACTATACAGCTACCCAATGTGAGGCCTCACTTTGAATCTCACTATCACTTAAAGGTCGATGCCTCTGCCCCTCCAGAAAGGGGATGGGCGTCATCCTAGCAGCTAAATGTCTCAAGAGAAATGACCAAGCTCCCCTAAGAAAGAATCCTGCCTCCAGACTGCCTGTGAACTTGAGACGACAGCATCAACTCTTCCCTGCCAGACTGCCCTGCAGATTTCAGATTTGCCAATCCCCTCAATCATGGGAGCCAATTCCTTAAAATAAAACTCCCTACATAAAGATACAGTAAGTACCCTACATACCCACATTCCAGTTGTGAACTTTCAAAGATGCGAACATGCATTCACATGTCCAATCATGTATTGCACTACTGTACTTCTCAAGGTACTGTACTATAAGATTTTAAATGTTTATTTTTTATTTGCTATGTAAGTATCATTTGTGTGAAAAGTATTATAAACCTATTACAGTACAGTACTCTATAGCTGATTGTATTAGTTGGGTACCTAGGCTAACTTTGTTGGACTTATAAACAAATTGGACTTAGGAACGTGTTCTCAGAACAGAACTCATTCGTATGTAGGGGACTTACTATATTTGTGTCTACACAGATAGACATAGACTTCTATATGGATACACACACCCTGTTGGTTTTGTTTCTCTGGAGAGCCCTAGCATACCATTCTAACACACAGAACACTACTCTCTTCTTTTAGCTTTCATCTTCTTGCATCACATTGTCGGCTTCTCTTCTTTCAAGAGCATCAGAGAAATTATTTTTTCTTCTCATTGGCAAAGTGATCAGCCAGAGTGAGTCAAGAAAAATTCCTCCTCTCCACCCTTGCAGGATGCTCAAGGCTGCTCATGGGTAGATATTCTTGGGATCAGATCAGAAGACTGATCTCTACAGACAGGAGGTTCTACTGATTAAAAGCCACAACTATAATAATACTAATAATGGGACTCAATATTTTAAATTACTTATTTTGCTATCTCCTTTTTAGTTTACCTTTTTCTCACCACTCTTCCTAATGCAAGCCTTGCTGTTTGTTCATTCGGGAGACATGTATGTCAAGGTAGAAGATTCAGTCTGGCTTTGGTTTTCCCAAGCTTAATAAAGTGAACCAGACAGAAGGTAACAGGAAAAGAGAGAATCATGAGTACAGACGGAGTGTCCCAGAGAATTGGGGAAAGAGCAAGGTTTCTCCACCCCAGACTGGAAAGCAGTAATCAGTGACTAATACTCAATAATTCTGGCACAGCCCTGGTATTGCAGGGGGAGGAGTGAAGGGCTAAAGGGACTCTAAGAATGACTAGGCCTGGCATGGTGGCTACACCTATAATCCCAGCACTTTGGGAGACCGAGGTGAGAGGATTGCCTGAGCTCATGGGTTTGAGACCAGCCTGGGCAACTCGGCAAGATCTCATCTCTACAATAAATTAAAAAAAAAAAATTAGCTGGGTGTGGTGGCCCATGCCTATAGTTCCAGCTACTTGGAAGGCTGAGGCAGAAGGATCACCTGAGTCCATCAGGTCGCGGCTGCAGTGGCTGTGAGCGTGCCACTGCATTCCAGCCTGGGTGACAGAGGGAGACTCCAACTCAAAAAAAAAAAAAAGAATGACTAACGTAAAACTGAAACTATTCACAGGTCTAACAAAATGGCTGTTCTAATAGCTAATAAGAAAGAGCCTACTATGTGCCAGACCCTATGCAAAGAGCTCTTGCATGTATTGATACCATTATTTTTCTCTGTTGACTTAGATAGTAAACAATTTTCCCAAAGTCAGGCAGCTAATACGTGGTTGTGCCATGGTTCCAGAATCTTGACCAGGAATCCTAATCTAAATGGTCGAACTCCAGAGTGTTCACATAATAAGCATGGACAAAGCAATTATATAACCAAGGTCTACCATTTTATAACCACAGCAGAGTAAAAATGTCTAGATTAAGAAGAGTATTTGGCCAGGCACCGAAGCTCACAACTATAATCTCAGCACTTTGGGAGGCAAAAGCGAGAGGACTGCCTGAGCACAGGGGTTCAAGACCAACCTGGACAACTTAGCAAGACCTCATCTCCACAATTAGTCAAAAAAATTAGCCGGGCATGGTGGCACGTGCTTGTAGCTACTTGGAAGGCTGAGGAAGGATCTCATAAGCCCAGCAGGTTGAGGCTGCAGTAGTCATAACTGTGCCACTGCACTCCAGTCTATACGACAGAGACTCTAACTTAAAAAGAGAAAAAAAAGCAGTATTTATACAGTTAATAATAAAGAGACACTGAAATTCTGAGGAAGTAATCTTCATTAAGAATTTCAGCTGGGCTCAGTAGCTCAGCCTGTAATCCCAGCACTTTGGTAGGCCGAGGTGAGTGGATTGCCTGAGCCCGCGGATTCAAGACCCGCCCGGGGAACTTGGCGAGACCTCATCTCTACAATAAATCAAAAATTAGCCAGGCGTGGTAGCGCGCGCCTGTAGTTCCGGCTACTTGGAAGGTTGAGGCGGAAGGATCGCCGGAGCCCAGCAGGTCGAGGCTGCAGTGGCCGGGAGTGGCTACTGCACTCCAGTCTGGGCGACAGAGTGAGATTCCAACTCAAAAAAACCCCAAAAAAACAAAAAGAATTTCAACGCCTCTTTGATATATTTATTGATATTAAAGTAATAAGTTGAGAAATAATCAGCAAGAAAGATATATTACTCACATGTTTACTTCATCTTCATTTAATAATTGCATCACTAGCAGGGTAATATGAAAGGAACCGTCACTGACCATTGCTTTAGCCAGTCGCTTATCTTGCTGTATTATTTCATCTTGCAGGATCTTAATTCCTCTTGTAATCTAATCACATATACACACACCACACACACAAACACAAACCCCAGAGATTAGGTAAGCAAAATTTATTAATGGCAAATATAAATCAAGAAGAAAAACAAAGTACTACCAAAATTAGAACAATGTCAAGATTCTTCAAACAAATGCTTAATTGCTCACTTGTTCTCAAATACCCTAGATAGTTGACTTGGACAGATTAATAGGATATGTTAAGTTTTTTTTAAAATGACACCCTTTCCATCTTAAAAGCATTAAGCCCAAGATGTTATTTTACAGATCAGGTCAATGGAAAAATTCTCAACGGCCATGTATCTTTTCAGAAATTTGTCCTTGGAGTACACAATATGACTCGATAATTGTGATCTTTCCTAAGAAAGAAGCTTTATTCTTGCCGCAGAAAGGTCAAATCAGCAGACAACATTCCATTTCTGTTAGAAGCAATATTTACTTGTCCCCAAGTGAATTTTGTGTCTGAGAGCCCATTCCTCATGGCCTTTAAGACTTTTTAGGACAGCAGTAATTTCAACAGGAATGATGGTGGTCATTTTTCCAGACATGTGAGGAGGGGTATTACCATGAAGACAGAGCTGCAAAGAAGTCCTGATGCCAAAATTAGAAAAATGATGACAGGCTGCATGTGGGGAAAATCCCCACAGACCTGGTCAGGCACCACCATCCCCTCTCAGGACCTGCTCCCCCGAAACAGGAAGAAGATGATCCATCCTTGCTCCTCTACCTCCAGTCACATCCAGTTCTAGTCAACTTCTAAATGTGAGTGCTTTGGAAAATGGTTTAAATAGGAAATAGCAAACCCAGAAAGCAAAAACCAAAAACAGAAAAAAGAGCAAACAAAAGTCCTAAGGGAACAACAGCCCTGGGGCAGCATAAGTGTGAGAGAGAAAAGGAAAAGAGAGGGGGTTGGCAGTAAAAGCAGAATTCATAAAAAAGCAGAGATAATAACAAACTGAGCCAGGCACCTATAATCCTAGCACTTGGGAGGCCAAGGTGAGAGGATTGCCTGAGTCTACGGGTTCAAGACCAGCCTGGGCAACTTGGCAAGACCTCATCTCTACAATAAATAAATTTTAAAAATTAGCCAGGCATGATGGTGCTTTCCTGTAGTTCCAGTTACTTGGAAGGCGGAGGCGGAAGGATCACTTGAGCCCAGCGGGTCGAAGCTGGCATGGCCATGAGGGTGCCACGGCACTCCAGCCTCAGCAACAGAGTGAGACTGCGACTCAAAACAAAAACAAAAACAAAAAAAGAACAAATTGAATCATCATGACCAAGCAGACTGTTCTGATACTAAGTAACTGTTTTATCCTGAACAATGTTCCCATTCTTTGTGGAATGTGATTGAGCAAATCATGAGATACTATCCTAGAATCTGACTTCCCACTGACAAAAGCTGTCTCCTTTGACCAAACTTTAGTCAGCCTCCTCTGAGTCCTCTGCTTGACTAGGTCTGATTTCAGGCTTCTCTCTCTGTCCCCATAGAATCCAGTTTGAGCAAGAATCCTGCCAAGTCAGTATAGAGCAAATCCCCTACCCATGTTATCGGACCATCCTAGATACCTTAAGACCACAGCCTGCCCTCAACAATAATCCTATCAAGCCAGTTTAGTCAGAAAACCTTGATCCTTGATCTTTCCCCTAGTAATTTTCCATCCATTGGCACCACCCCTCCACTCTCCTCCTCAGCAACAAATCTCCACTTCTCCTTGCTGGAAGCAAAGTTGAAGCCAATTCCTCTCTTCACCGAAGACCTGCTGCAGTGGTCCCTATACCTACCACCAGGATCCTCTTGAATAAAGTGCACCTCACCATTTTTAACAGGTCTTATAAAGAAATTTTTCCTAAACACCATGTACCTTTACAATAAAGCCATAGCACCCAAAATAACCTCAGCATTTCTCTATTCCTTGTAATCCGAAAGAGACTAACAGAGGAAACAGTGTTTTCCCAATAGGAAGCTACACGATAATGCCTGACATAGGATTTCCCAACACGTCACTTCTATGACATCCAAGAAAAGAATATTGATAGCCTGACAAATAAAACACTCCAAATATAACAGCACACAAAGATCTTGGAGAATCACAGTTTCCCCTATTCCACATAAATAAAAGGAAATTATAGACTCCTTGAGGGCAATGTCTATTTCGTCTACACTTCTGTCTCAGCACAGTGCCTAGTAATAAGAATAAAAACAATATTTAACAACAGCAGCAACAACTAATCTTTATGGTGTATACACTAGGTTCCACATACCCCATGGTAAGCATTTTATATATATATATCTCCTCACTGAAGCCTCTCAACAATTCTAATAGGTAAACATTGCTAATATGCCTAGCATATGCCTTTTTACTTTTTTTCTTAAATTTTTTATTTTAAAGATGTGGGGTACAATTCAGGGTTAATTAATAAGCAAATGTTCATATTGCAGATACCCTTGTTGATGAAGTGTGCCCTCCCTCCCCAGCAGAATCCCACTACTGCCAATTCCGCCCCCTCCCCCAAGCAATTTCCCACTACTAACAGTCCTTATAGTATTACAATAATTGTTCAAGGTTCACTTATGAGTAAAAACATATGATACTCGTTCTTTGTTTCTGTGATAGATCACTCAGTATTATAGACTCTAAGTTCACCTAAGGTACTGTGAAGTTCCTAATTTTGGCCTTCTTTATGGTTGCATAATATTCTATTGTGTATATGTACCACATTTTTTGACCTAGTCCTCTTTCAATGGGCAGCACAGTTGGTTCTGTTTTTGCTATTGTGAACAAGGCTGCAAATAAACATGAGTGTGCAGGTATCTTTGTCATACAGTGACCTGAGTTCCTCTGGGTATGTTCCCAGTAGGGGGATTGCGGGGTTGTATGGAAGGCCAATTTTTGAACTTTTATTTAAGAATCACCACAGTTTTTCCACAGAGGTTATACTAGTTTACACCCCCACCAACAGTGTAGCAGTGTTCCCTTTTCCCCTTATTCTCCCCAGCATCTGTTTGGTTTTTGTTGTGGTGGTTTTTGAGTTGAAGTCTTACTCCATCGCTCAGGCTGGAGTGCAGTGACACGCTCACGGTCGCCCCAGCATCAACCTGCTGGGCTCCGGGCGATCCTTCTGCCTCAGCCTTCCAAGTAGCTGGAACTACAGGTGCATACTATCACACAAGGCTAATTTTTTAAAAAATTTATTGTAGAGACGAGGTCTCGCCAAGTTGCCGGACTGGTCTCAAACCTACAGGTTCAAGCAACCCATTCACCTTAGCCTCCCGAAGTCTGAGCCACCAAGCACAGCCATCTGTTGTTTTTTTGAGTTATTGATGATGGCCATCCTGACTGGAGTTAGGTGGTATCTCAGTTTTGCTTTAATTTGCATTTCTTTGATGACTAGTGAGGCTGAGCATTTTTTCATATATCTGTTGGCTGCTCATATGTCTTCTTTTGAAGAGTACCTATTCATATTTTTTGCCCGCTTTGTAATGGGGCTATTTGTTTTTTTCTTTTGGGCACTTTTAAGTTCCTTGTAGATCCTAGATATTAGGCCATTGTCAGATATACAGTTGGTAACTATTTTTTCCCAATCCATGTGCTGTCTTCCTGCTCTCTTGATAGTTTCTTTGGCTTTGCAGAAGCTTGTCAGTTTGATGAGGTCCCACTTGTCTATCATACCTCTTATGGCATGGGCACTTGGGATTTTGATCAGGAATTGGTTGACAGTTCCAATTTCCATAAGGGTGTCTCCTGCACTTTCTAAGGTTCTTATAGTTTGAGGTTTTACATTTAGGTCTTTGATCCATTTAGAGTTAATTTTTGTGTATGGTGATAGGTAGGGGTCCTATTTCAATCTTCTGCATGTGATCAGCCAGTTTTCCCAGTATCATTTACTGAATAGGTTCTCCTTTCCCCAGTGGTTGATGGTAGAGGCTTTTTTGAAGATGAGTTGGTCGAAAAACTGATGTTTTGCTTCTGGACTCTCTATCCTGTTCCATGGTCTATATGTCTATTCTTGTACCAATACCAGTCTGTTTTAATTACTGTACCTTTATAATAAAGTTTAAAGTCTGGGAGTGTGATACTTCCCACTTTGTTTTTTGTTTGTTTGTTTGTTTTTTGCTGAGGATTGTTTTGGCTATTCATGGTCATTTATATTTCCATATGAATTCCTGTATTGTCATTTCCAGGTCTGAGAAGAATACTACTAGTAATTTAAAAGGTATTGTGTTAAATCTGTAGATTGCCTTGGGTAGAATGGACATCTTAACAATGCTGATTCTTCCAATCCATGAGTATGGGATATTTTTCCATTTGCTTGTGTCACTTTTGATTTCTTTGAGCAGTGTTTTATAATTTTCATTATAAAGGTCTTTCACATCCCTTGTTAGGAAGATGCCAAGGTATTTCATTTTTTTGTGACTGTTGTGAATGAGATCATGCTTATTTGGGATTCTGTTTATTGTCAGTGTATAGGAATAAGACTGTCTTTTGCACATTTATTTTATACCCTGAGACTTTGCCAAAGTCCTTTATCAGTGCAAGGAGTTTTTTTTGACAGATTCTCTTGGGTTTTTGAGGTATAGAATGATGTCATCTGCAAAGAGAGATAACTTAACTTCCTCTTTTTCTATTTGGATACCCCTGATTTTCTTCTATTATCTGATTGCTCTAGGTAGAATTTCCAATACTATGTTGAACAGAATAGGTGAAAGTAGGCATCCTTGTCTTGTTCCAGTTTTCAGGGAAAATGGTTCCATTTTGTCTGTTTAGCAGTATGCTAGCTGTGGGTTTCTCGTAGATGGCTCTTAATTTTGAGGTATGTTGCATCTATGCCTAGATGCTCAAGGGTTTTTATCAAGAAGGGGTGCTGGATTTCATCACAAGCTTTTTCCACGTCTAATGATATAATCACGTGGTTTTTGTTTTTATGTCAGTTGATATATTTAGTTACATTTGTGGTCTTGTGGATGCTGAACCAACTCTGCATCCCGGAGATAA